AGATAGATAGATAGATAGATAGATAGATAGATAGATAGATAGATAGATAGATAGATAGATGTGTATTTCAGAGTTTTTCAAACTGGCTTTTTGCCATAGTTCATCTTTCTAATGGCTGCAAAATCTCCTCGGTTTAATGAGATTAAAAATAAACACATTCTTGAATGTAAGTTGTTAGATTAGAAATGAACAGAGAACAGTGATTATGAAGTCAAAAAAGTAGAACTTGGGCTCATTCAATGCTGTGGATTCATGTGAGCAGCTGGAGTTTTTATTTGTGTAGGAGATAACAAATAGTGACACAAAGGGAGAAATATAATAAGGGAATGATGATTTTCCACTTCTCCACAGACACACATAAATATGACTCTGATTTCCAGAATCTGCAACTATTACATAACAGGGCGCAATGCACTTTTTGTGGGAGTGATTAAGTAGATTACCGTGAGTCATCCACATGGCACCACATCCTCACAAGTGTCTTTAGAACCGAGAGATTTCAGGAGAGGGTGGTGAGAAAGAACTTGACAGCAGAGGTTGGGGGTTTTTAGGTTGCTGGGTTTGGAAGGGAGGCAGGGAGACTCAAGAAACAGGCTGCTGAAGGCTCTCAGTTTTGTGCAACTTTGTATTAGCCCCTTGAGATTTCTTTTATACTTCTGCTTTCCAGAACTGTATGACAATATATTTGTGCTGTGTGAAGTTGTAACAGTGGTCCGTTACAATAGCAATGCGAAGCCAAGACTGACTAAAACTGAAAACAACTCTCCTTTAAAAATGGTAATTATTTGGTTAGTAAAGAGAAAACTAATGAAATTATTATTACTAAAATACTTGTCCTATGTTTGACATGTTAAAAAATGTGCAGTGTGCTTTATCTATAGCACTAGGACTAAGTTTCAAGGACTCTATTGTCAACAAGAAGTTGTCTTTCAGGCCCTGTCCATTCCATGTTTTCCCCAGCTCTACTTTCGCCTTACTATCATCCCTATTCTACTGCTAACTTAAATGACTTAAATGACTGTTTTTTTTTAACTGTGCCATTATATGGATATGTTATGATACTATAAGAGAAAAGGCAAGAAGGTAAATCACTTTAGTAACATGGTCACTCTCCACAGCTGAAACTTTGTCTTAATTATCCCCAGCACTAAAGTGATCATCTGTCATCAAATAAAGGTACCGGTAAAATGTGGTTAATGAATTAACAATAAAAATAAAACTTCAGTCTTCTATTATTTTTGAAACTATACTATAATTATATCATTTATTTATTCTCTTTACTCCCTCCAAACCTTTCCATATGCCCATTCCTTGCTTTCTTTTAAATTCACAAACCTTTTTTGTCATTGATTACTGTCATATATGTGTGTGTGTGTGTGTGTATCTCCTTTATTTAACTCTTTGAGCGCCTTTAAAAATTTAGTTGGATTTATTTTAATTTCATGCACAAATGTTCTATATGCCTGCATGTATGTGCACCACCTGCATTCCTGGTGCCTTCAAAGGTTAGAAGAGAACATTGGGCCCTGTGGAAGTATAGTTATGAATGGCTGTAATCATGTGGGAATCAGACCTGGGTCCTCTGCAAGACCACCACATGCACTAAACCACCGAGCCACCTCTTCAGCACCCTCCTACGACTCTTCCAATATTCCACTTCAAAGCCAGATGTCCACCAATGTTTCCCCAGCTGCCCTCTTCCCCAAAACATAGTATTCCCCTTGAAATAGCCTATTTATTCTACTGCACAGTTCATGTCACACTCTGACACACAACGGCTAGTTCTGTGTGCTTTTTGTTCCTGTGATAAACTGTAAGTTCTTGAGAGTCATAAAAGTGCAACACATTTGAACCAGTCGTCACCAATCAACCTGTAGGTTGAATAACTTGAATCTGTTACATAATAATCACTCTTCAACTTCAGTACAAATTGGCATATTTTCCACCTTAATTCTCTCAAATAATGTCTTTAAAGGTATAAAAACATTTTCCCATGCTTTTTTACACCTTTTACTATAAATCACACCTTTCCTCATTAACTTGGTTTATTCTGTGGCACAATACCAAAAAAAAAAAAAAATCTTCCAGGTAGCTGTTGCTCTGAGATTTTAATTTTAATATATCTTATGTCTGTAGCCCTTAAGTTAAATGAGTTATTTTCCTTTACCAATTTTAAACAATTAAAATAAATCTCTGACATAAACTCATTTCACTAAACTCCAAAACATTTTCTCTCACGGCTGTTCAATCTGAGTCCTCATCACTTGTGAGCACGTTGGTTCTGTGTGCTTTATCTTTATCTGCTAGCCTGCTGATTTACAGGCATCAGCATGATGCCTGAACAGCAGAGACTGTAAGAAAAGGCTTAATGTGAAATTCTTCATAATGTGAAAGCATATTCCCCATATTCTTCCCTGGGACCTAAGGTATCTGAATGTCAAACCTAGGTCTCCAGCTACACAGGGAGTAGAGAGCTCCAAGTGCACCCTGCACAGCCTTCTGCACTTCCTCCCACTTCCAACAGGGCACAGCCCAAAGATGGCGATGCTACATGTGGTACTACATAGTTATGATAAAGAGCCCCCAGAGAAAGGGCAGCTCTTCCAGAGCCAGGTGAAAAAACACCAGTGCAGTAACTGTAACAAAGACTTATGCTCAGTTTGAAGTCTTTAATAGTCATATAAAAAATAACCTCACGCTCCAGGATTTCAAGGTAGTCTATAACTACAGACTACGTTTTTTGTTTTTGTTTTAGTTTTGTCATTGTTGTTTGTGAAATACTGGAGGGGTTCTTTCAAGTGAGTACGGAAAAGATGTGTTTGTTTGTTAAGTCTGCATTAGGCTAGAGGATCCTGAGAAGATAAAGATTTCTCTAAGCAAGTTAACGTCCAAAGCATCAAACTTCCATCTGTAAAAGCACAGAAAATACATCACTACAAATAGAAAGTCTATGCACATATCTTGTCCAAAATGTTAAAATTTGTTTTAAATATAATCAGTTATTAAGGATACAGTTTCATTGATTTTAAGTTTCAAATATCTCAGATGGTATTTGTAAAATTGTTCCTGTCAAGCAGGAAAGTGAGATACTTGGCAAGAAAACATCTTGGCACCTCTCTTAACCAGAGCTGGAACACGCGTCCCTAAGACATGATGAAAACATAAGAGTGGTATTCTAGGCTGTGGGTGTTGAAGAAGCCAGTTAAACAGTTAAAATTTGGGAATACTGTTGGAATATAATTCTAAAATAATTA